AGGGTCAATGAAACTATCTTTTCATTAGGAAGTGATCTGAGCCTAATTGTTCACAAAATTCAAAACCTGCCTCACTTTTTTCTCTAGTAGGGCTGACTGAGGCCTTCGTAACAAAGTAGATTTCTGCTGAAAAACACCCCTGTTTTATGAAAATATATTAGTGTTTTCAACATCTGCCAGCTTGGGCTGCTGCCTGCAGGGGTGCCAGAAGTTCAGGTGGTGGCAGCTCCCTGCCAGGCTTCCCATATGAATGGGAAGCACACAGATCCCAAACCAGTTTAACTGACATTGCTCAGTTGTGAAGACCCATAAAACTGAAAGAATAATTTCAGTCACTATTCGAGGCATCTCTGAGAGCATTTTCATTGATAGCTTTGTCCTTTGGCGTTAGCTAAAGTGAAGCATACAGCAACTTCTGCACAAAATCAGGGAACTGGGTTTTAAAACTTGCAAGAAAACTGTCCTTCAAGCTGAAGATTGTCTGGTTTTGCACACATTCCAAATGCAGACTACCTGTCAATTGGTAGAAAAAAATTCATACACTTTTACCAAACTGTATGGTTACTCATCACAGCAAAATCTATGGAGTTTAGGTTGCAATTAATAATTATAATTGTGATGTATTTGGGTATCAGGACTGTGCCTGTGTGCACACACTGCACTTGGACATGAATTCCTGGGTGGCCCAGGAACTCCCCAGCTAATCTCTGCACAGAAGAGATAACGGGCTAATTGGGAACAGATCAAGTTGAGGAAAAGCTGCCTTCCACCTTCACAACAAAGTGCTTCACAAATGTGCTGGTTTGGCTGGGACACAGATCATTTTCTTCACAGTAGCCAGTATGGGGTTATGTTTTGGATTCGTGCTGAAAACAGTGTTGATAACAGAAGGATGTTTTAGTTACTGCTGAGCAGTGCTTACACAGAGCCAAGGCCTTTTCTGCTTCTCACCCCATCCCACCAGCAAGGAGGCTGGGGGTGCACAAGAAGTTGGGAGGGGACACAGCCAGGACAGCTGACCCCACCTGACCCAAGGGATATTCAATGCCATATGGCTCATGCTCAGCACATAAAGCTGGGGGAAGAAGGAGGAAGGGGGGCACGTTCAGAGTGACGGCGTTTGTCTTCCCAAGTAACCGTTACGCGTGATGAAGCGCTGCTGTCGTGGAGATGGCTGAACACCTGCCTGCTGCTTCCCCCCCCATCCCACCAGCAAGGAGGCTGGGGGTGCACAAGAAGTTGGGAGGGGACACAGCCAGGACAGCTGACCCCACCTGACCCAAGGGATATTCAATGCCATATGGCTCATGCTCAGCACATAAAGCTGGGGGAAGAAGGAGGAAGGGGGGCACGTTCAGAGTGACGGCGTTTGTCTTCCCAAGTAACCGTTACGCGTGATGAAGCCCTGCTTTCCTGGAGATGGCTGAACACCTGCCTGCTGATGGGCAGCAGGGAATGAATTGCTTGTTTTGTTTGCTTGTGTGTGCAGCTTTTGTTTTACTTATTAAACTGCCTTTATGTCAACCCACAAATTTTCTTGCTTTTACCCTCCTGATTTTCTTCCCCATCCCACAGCGGGCAGTGAGTGAGCGGCTGTCTGGTGCTTAGTTGCCATCTGGTTTTAAACCACAACAACTAGTTAGTTCAGGAGCTCCCCAGCTGGCACCTTCAGATGGTCACAGACATGCCTGCAGACAGCTCTTGCTGGGCCAAGAGCAATAGACAGACACTACTCGTATGCCCCAAAGCACTGATTAACATCCTGGGTGGACAATTTTGCTAGACCAGGTACAAGAATTAACTAAAACAATAGTTTGGGGAGTTTTACTAATTTAAGCTGAAGATGTCATGCAAGGACGCCTGTAATGGAGACTTGCATTGCCATCCTGTTCAAGACATTCAAATCCTCATGTGAGCATTACCTTATGCAAAGATTCTAATAACTTGATGTTGTAGGTTTCTTGCGGTGGTTTTTTTAATAAACACACTCTTGTTACATGTCTGTGCCACACCATTTCTTGAAAGGTCAAAGAAGCAGAAAAGCGAGGCTGAGGGGAGACTTCAAAATTCAATCCTTTATCAACAATTTACATTGGGACTCTAAAATGGTAGTCAAGAATTTTACATACTGAAAAATTTGGAGGATGTTTACAACCTTGTCCTTGTCTCCTCTGCAATACTTTTCCCAGCCAATAATGAGAAAGGCAACAAATATATTTTTGTTTCCCTGCTCCCATGTTTTCTTTTCTTAGATTTTGACAGCAGAGATTTAATTCATGAATGCAAAATATTCTCTCTTTATGGCACTAATTTTGTTATTGCAACAAACATATTTCCAAGAAAACAGTATCACAGGTGGTGAAATTGATAATCTGTGCCAAAGGCTAAGGCCTTGTCTCTACTAATAAAAATAAAAATACTAATCTACACCGAGTTTTCACTCCTCCTACGACCAAAAAATCTGCACCAGTGAGGCATCATAGTTATGAGGTTTGCTAGTGCAGATGCAGTATATAGAAAAGAACCAATACATTTTCTTTGTTTTCCAGGTTAGTTTGCCACTGGTGTCTGTACTACAAACCCGTAAGCCTGGAGCCTAAATTTGTAAAGTACTAAGCCCCTTTTACTTCACCAAATCTTAGATGAGTCTGACAGCATGTATAACCTGACTGGTAGAAGAAAATGAGCAGTGTAAGTACCCTCACAAAGACCTTCATCACCATTGTCTTACAGTGCTTGACTAACAGAAATTTTAACACTGAACTTAATGTGAATTGAAGTTCATATACTGCTGTTTAAATACAGATTAGGATTTCTGACAGACAAATACCGCTGAAAAGCTGACAATCTAATAAATACAAATAACTATTGTTCCCACTATAAAAATGTCCTGTATTTTAATAGTTCAGTTCTGCTGTGTAGAAACACATACAATAGCATATGTTTTCTGAAATCCAAAATGAAAAGTCATGGCTACTTTTTCCCAGGCTGTGCAATGATTTTTTCACTGGTTATATATGCCATAAAAATAATTCTAATGTCATCAAATTGAAACTGAACTGCTCTTTAGACATCTTACTTCTTCACAGAAGTAAAGAAAAAAACCACCTTGTATCATAACACAGTCATCCTGAAACATACAAAGATCTTCTTATGCCAAAGATAAGCAGACGTAGAGTACAGCTCGGATCCCAAGTACTTACAGGGGAAAGTGAACTCATACAGGTGCCCACATACTCATTTATTCTGACTACCTCTAGGAATGAAGGAGTTGCCTCTGGGCTACTACTCCACTTTCCAGTCTGATAGATGGCTTTGGCCTCACCTCCCACAGAACCACAAGCCAAAGCTGGAAGTCGTTTGCCTGCAAAAGAGCTACTGTGCTCCTCCTCGCAAAAGAAGGGGAAAAAGAAACTGACTGTGACAGAGACTCAGCCTTGTGATTGCCCTTTTCCTGGAATTTGTTTCTTTTTATCCAGTCAAGAATGAAGATTGCAATTCTCCTCATAAAAACCCATCTGTCCAAAAGTTTCATGCTGCAGAGTAACAGGAAAACAAATTGAAATGACCAGGCCTTTTCCGAGGTCTGATCTCACAATGTGCCCTGTGTCTTCAGAGCACCTGTAAACATAACGGGAATTGTGAGACCGAGTGTGTGTAGTAAAAGGCAAAAATCCAAACTCTGACACAAAATCAAAAATCTGCAACGTAAGGCAAAAACGCAGTGTCTTCCTACTGCATTTGACAGACTACCACAATGGGCACTCAATCTGGTGGCTGCCCGTAGGCGCTACTACAGCGGAAAAGTTTAAGAACAAAAGATGCAAAAGATTTTTCTGTAGAGCTGAAATTCTGAAGACAGTTTTCCGTTCGGTTCTAATCGTATATGTGGTTAATGTATATTTAATTAATTTAGTAACGGTCACTCCAGTATTACGGTAGGGATTAGAATGACATTTTTTCCTGTAATACATCACGTGACTTCCTGGGACTGTCAAATAATTCTTCACCATCAGATTATCAGAGACTGGAAATGAGACTGAGCTTTCGGGGTTGTTGCTCTGATGCGGGCTCCGCTAATGCACTGCTTTATCTAGCTGGGGTGCCCAGCTCATTGGCTCAGAATAGTGCTATCACCAGGTTTTCTTCCAATTCATACTGGCAAGAAACAAAGATTTTGGCAGAGGGGGAAGGAATTTCTTAGCTTAAATTTCCGCTCTTTTTTTTTTCTTTTTGCCAGATAGTTTACCTATTAAGATACCTACCCATTGATCTTTATTCTCTACCTGCAGCGTAAAATTTTGCTTTTGAGAACTTAATACCTGGTTTAATTCAGATTTTTGTTTCACCTCCTCATAACCAGAAACAGCTCTTGGAAGAATTCAGTGAAAGTCTCATGAGGTTTATCAAATATTTCTCAATCTATAATTCTAGCCTGTAATTTACTCGGAAGATCATTCATCCAAGTGTTTTCTCCTTCCACCCAATGTTTTAGCTTTTTGCACAAGAATAATGTTAGTGAGTTGTATTAATTACACAACAGAAATGCACATCAAATAAAATTATTGAAATAATGATTTCAAATATTTTATTTAAATGATTCTGTACTATGTTAAAACTGCAGGAGAGAGAATAAGAGGTCTTTACTAGTAAGAGTTCTGTTAATGTTACAGTGTAGTAAAGATCCTAGAATGATCAACAGAAAAAACAATATCCTTTCTCCTTTTACTATTGCCATTTGCTTCCAGTTTTGGAGATAATTTCTGAATTTCCGCATTGCAACATAATGCTGCCTTTAAATTTAATTTTTAAAAAGCTATCAGTACACATTTCAAATACAGAAAATAATTTGTTGGTATGTTCATTAAAATTAACTGCAATGCTGCAAATCTTACATTAAAATATAGATGCACACTAGTAATTAAAAAATAATAATCAAATAAAAAGCACAGCTGAACACTTCAATTACTGATAGTAATCATAGTATAATCTTGTCCTACCAAGTGTGTCTCCAGGTACAGTTTAAGGCTGTCTGTCTCCGCTTTAGGAGGAGTCCAATTCTCTGTTGTTTCCATGGCTTCATTTAACCAGTGAATGAATTCATCCAGCTTGCTTACAAACCCCTTACCAGATAAGAAAAAAGAAAGAACAAGAAAAACATATTTGTTAGTAAAATGGTAATCTGAAAAATGTCTGCTCACTTTTTTTTTTAAGCCAGAAGAGTACTGTACAGTAAAATTTTGCCTTTTACAGGCATGCAAAGAAAAAAACCAATTAGCAAGTAGTCTGCCAGCAAATGAGGAGCACAATAGTGTTTCCAGGGATAATCTATGGTGATATTTCGGGACAGGACAATGTGAGATCCATGTGACTGTCACGAAATGGAGAAAACAGCAAAGTTTTAGAAGATATGGGGGGGATACATAAAAAGCTGCATACAGATTACAATGAAAATTGAGCTGAAGACCTTGCACTGGGCAAACTGGGAGTAGCATGAGCACTGTTGGTTGAAAAAAGTGCTGAACAAAGCTCCTTTAACAACGTATACATCAGTAGACTGAGGGAAGAAACTACTTGTCAGAACTTGGGTCTTGTGATCCTTGTTTTGGTTCATAGGGTGAGACTCAGAGAGAAGAGATCAAACAGTAGGTGATGCAGAATATACAGCATTTAATATAAATATTGCTGATTGCATATGAGCCACACAGATGGTGTTCCTGAGCAGACAGGAGTTCCTGCTTCTCAGGAGCACCATTTATTTCAAGATTAGTACCAATTATATTGTCTGATTAAAAATAGTGCCCCTGAATTTACATGATTGGATGATACTATAAGCACATACTGAGTACAGATCATTTCACCAAAGTCTTATCCACCACAAAGCAAGAGAGTAAATGGAATAAACTGACCGTGATGTTTATAAGCACCCTGAAAATTAACTCTGAAGAGGAATGTCAGTCTATTACAAGCATCGTAAGACTAGATTAAGTTAGGTCTAACACTGGCTATATTATTGGTTACCAACTATGAATTTCGCAGCATTGTGAGAATTTTAATTTCCAGTTGGATAACAACTTGGTATACACACTCTGTATCTCACTCTCACCACTTTATTTGTGGAATGATTTCTAGTAATTATTAGTCCATTCAGATAACTAAAAGTAAGCTAAGCATAAAACTTAAAGATTCCTCAGTGACTCAGGAGCCCAAATCCCCTTCTCCAAAGTGGCACATGAAACTAAAATTCTAAACGAGACAGAAACAGGAGTTTGAGCAGTTGGCACACAGCTGCATTATGCAAAGAAGTGCAATGGTAATATACCAGACCAAGCAGAGCCACACTTCCTTCAAAATTCATGGTAGCAGAGTCATTTTGGCCCAACGCTGTGCCAAGAAGCAGGGTCCAATAATCAACTCCTGGCTTCCAGCGGAAGCGGCAGTTCTTCCGAACCAAAGCTAGCTTCTGTCAGGATGCTCCAGTGCATACTGCATGCATTACAGTACTCACTGAGGCACTCTGAAGACTTTGCTTTAAATATTATTATTTTTTACATGAGTCCCTATGAGCCCTCAGGATGAGAAGGAGGCTATTGCCATCTCTTTTCATGGGATCCACTGTATCTCAAAGTATTATAAGGAAGAAAACTGTTATTCTGCGGGTTTTGTTGTAAGCGGTTTATCAGGATATTCCAGAAAGGGGGAAGGAAGACAGGAAAAACAACTCAGTGGACACGGTGACCGACACAACCTGCTTCTGCTCTGGGCCAAGTAGTGAAGGGAGCAGCATCTCCTCTCTCCCACAGCAGGCCATGCCACAAGGGCTCTGTTCCCCACGACGAGCTGTGGGATGGAGGGGGGGGGGCAAGATGTTCCCCCAGCTCTGCTGCTTGCTTTCTCCCAGCTCGCAGTGGAGCGTAAGAGATGCCAGACTGGCAGAGGAGCAGGAGACATGAGCTGAGGGGGAGAGGAGCAGGAGGAGTAAAGTCCTTCTAGTCCCTCCAATAAATCTCTGCCTGCATTTTAGCAACGTGCTGTCCTTGAGAGACAAGGTGATATGGTAAGCACAAAAAATGAAGAAAGGCTCTCTCTTGTATATGCGTCATGTATTTTACGGAGACAGACACGTATAACATCTGCCTGCAGTACTCGATGTCTGTATGCCTTCAAAAGGGTGCTCAGAAACATTGCAGCCTTGCACCAGTATAAAAAGCAGCTACTAGCAACAGAGTCACTTCTGCCCTATCACAAAACGTGCCCGTGTTTCAATGCCTGCTACTTCATGCTGGTGCTTAGAAACTCCCAAGCGGCAGGCTCCGGCAGCCTGGCACGCATACACTCGCGGCACCGACGGCGTGGGCTGCGGGCCCGAGCAGGCCCCGGCGAGGCACGTGAATGCCCCGGGGCCCAGTTTGGGAGCGCGGGAGGGGGGTGGGGTGGTGGGGGAAGAGGGCGGGGAATAACTTATTATAGAACCACGATGGGCCAAGTCATCTGAGGAAAAAGAGATGAGGCTGCCAGCACCAGTGCCACCTGGCTCGTCAGGGTGGCGGCTGGGGGGACCGCGCCCG